AGTTCATAAAAACTTGCATTTACCACCAGAAGAATTACTCCAGGACTTTGAAGCACGTTGGAAACTACGTAGGGGAGATTCTTATACGGTGGTGGAAACAAAATGCCCCGCACAACCGTTCTGCTCCGCAATCGATTGTACGATATGTGCTGCTAATATACTGAATCCAGAGTGCTGGCCACTTGCAGCCATGGCAGGCCTAGGACTAATATTATACCTTGTGATCGCCATCTTCTATACCTTATGCTATGTACCAGTTCACCATCGGCCGACCGTGCCGCATTGTGCTGCAAGGTATTCGTAGAGCAGTACATCTTATGCTACAATTACTGGTTCTAGCTATAAGTAGCCTAGGAAGGGTTTTCCGAAATGAGACGCGACAACGCCCGTCGAGAATTATGCAAGCACTGGCTATTTTCACATTATTCTCAGTAGTTCTGACATGTCAGGAGGTGAACATATTCCCCCACCAACTGAAAAGCTGTCGATCCTCTGGAAATAAAAGCATCTGTACTGTCGAAGTCGCATCCGTAGTAAAGATAAACCCTTTCAAAAAAGAAGCATGTTTAGCATTTCGGAAAAACGGTTCCACAGCGATGAAGGCAAGACTCCGTTTTGAAGGACTTAGATTGCTGTGCAACCGAGAAGTCCTTACTCCATACTAGGAATGTGCTTCAGAAAGTTGTCGACAGTAAAAGATGCTCATCCATGGGCTCGTGCATTGGTAACAAGTGTGCAGACATAAATGAAACGAGCCTGCTGCCTGAGTTAATGATTGGCAACTCATTTCCTGGAATAACCAGTTGCGTAGAATCCTGTGGTGGACCAGGATGTGGCTGCTTCCACTGGGATTCAGGTTGCCTATTTTACAGGATATATGGTGTACCAAAAGACGATACCGTTTATGAACTTTTCAAATGCGCCCGATGGGAGGAGGAGGTGAAACTTCGCCTTCAGTTTAGCGAGGGAGCCTTACTAAAGTCTTACCTGCTTGGTCTCCGTTCAAACGTTCCTATACGTGTTCAGAATTTTGAAGTGACACTGAGTGTACTTTCAGTTCCACCACTTCCAGTTCTCGAACAAAAATTTGTCAGATCGAAGCACCACGTCGCCATTTGGAACAGAGAAAAGAGCCCGCTCCTCCGCTGCCCATCGCATGAGCATGCCTTGTCGTTACAGTGCACTCTACACCCCATCTGCGAATGTACACCAGCCGAATTCCAGATCATGTGTAGATGTGAAGAAGACGACATCGAGGAAACCTTCATGAGCATAGAAAATGTACTACCACTCATTCGTCAACAAGTGCATTTGTCAGAGCATCCATATCATAGCGTCATGGCGAAATTGGATCACGACATCTCTGCGGAAATTATTTTAAATATGAAGGAAGCCGTTACCGACTTAATCACTGAAATCAAGGAAGATAGCTGCAGTATTGAGAACACTCACCTCACAGGATGTTATCAATGCAGCAGAGGAGCGCAAGCCATAGTAACGTGCAAATCTACCTTGAGCAACACTTCTGCCGAAGTCGAGTGTGGCAAAGACAGCTTCACCGTTCCCTGCTCTGTCAGAGGCAC